GTCAAATTCCTCTTGTTTGTGCTCATCCCACACACGGACACCACCCCACAGCTATAAAAGTTCATCAACTAATGGCCTTAGGTACACATCGATGTCGTTGCCGGGTTGCTTCGGACCTTCGATGAGCACTGGCATCATAATGAACTTCCGCTTCATGCACAACCAAGGAGGAAGGTTGTAGATGCATAGAGTCACGGGCCAGGTGCTATGGCTGGAGCTCTGCTCGCCAAAAGGATTCATGCCATCCGTACTTAGAGCAAATCTTATGTTCCTTGCGTCAGCTGCAAAATCTTTGAACCATCTGTCGATCTTTCTCCATTGCGTTCCATCTGCGGTGTGTCTCAACTCCCCGTCCGACTTACGGTCCTCTTTGTGCCATCGCAACAACTTGGCATGCTCTTTGTTCCTGAACAGACGTTTCAACCGTGGTATTATAGGAGCATACCACATCACCTTGGCGGGAACCCTCTTCCTGGGTTTCTGGCCCTCAACATCGTCACCAGGGTCATCGCCTCTGATCTTATAACGCAATGCAGTGCATACTGGGCATTCATTCAAATTCTCGTATTCACCGCGGTAGAGGATGCAGTCGTTGATGCATGCATGTATCTTCAGAACCTCTAAACCTAGAGGGCAGACAACCTTCTTTGCTTCGTACGTACTGGCGGGCAACTCGTTATCCTTTGGAAACAAATTCTTCAACATTTTCAGCAAGTTTTCAAATGCCGAGTCAGCTACACCTGCCTCTGCCTTCCATTTCAGCAAATCCAGTGTGCAGCCCAGCTTTTTCAGACCATCATCGCATCCGGGGTACAGCGCCTTTCTGTGATCCTCTAACATGCGATCCAAATTCTCCCTCTCCTTTTCAGTTTCGCAACGTCTCCGTGCATCAGCAATGGTCCGACCAAGATCATCAACGGGATCATCACGTGCCTCTTCTTCACCTTCCCCTTCACCTTCAGCATCCTCCATGAAAGTATCACCGAAATGAGCAAGATAGCTTTCATCGATGAAATCATCCCCTTCTTCATCTTCTTCCATTATAACCCCTCTTTCTCCATGCTTGGTCCAACAATTATAGCTTGGCATGAAACCGTGCCGAAGCAGATGCATGTGAACATCTCTTGAGGAAGAGTAACCCTTCTGATTCTTACAGATAACACATGGACAGATAACAAAACCCCCCTGCTTGTTCGCATTAGCCACTACGAGGAAATCTTTCAAACCGTAGTGAACTCGCCGGAGAGTCGGTTACAGTACATCCATTGCCGATTCATCTGCATTATTATAATATAAAATATATAATTAACCATCATGCATTTGTTAAACTAACTAGCTACAAACAATATAAATTAAACAATGAACTGCACACATGCATATTTTATCAATGACACATCAAAGGTTCATCAAGTTGCTAACCGCGATCGAGGAGTGTGGCTCCAACACTTCATGTCATGTTTGTTTCATACTCTTGGGGCATTTCATCAAACACCTTATGTGCATAAGAGGAACCAAAAGCAAACCTAGCTACACCCACTTGTGAAGAGAATGGCTCCAAATGGCTAAGTGTTGGCTGCTGGATGGGTATATATAGGGGAGGGGCTTTAGTTGCGGTTGGCCTGGCAAACCGTGACTAAAGGTGCCCGAAGGCCTTTAGTCGCGGTTGTCCTGGCCAACCGCGACTAAAGACCCTCACGTGCGCCAGCTAGCCACCGAGCGCCCTGGGCCCAGGCCTTTGATCGCGGTTCACCTCCAGAACCGCGACTAAAGGTCCCATTAGTCGCGGTTCCTACAGCTTCGCGACTTATGAGACTGGACGGAAGCCTGTTTTTCCACCAGTGCGCGGATGCAGCACGGTACGCCGCACGCCCTGAGACGGGGACACCTCCTCCAATATGTCCCGGCGCCCGTGCCGTGAGCCCGAGGATGCCGCTGCCCGTGGCGGTAGACTCATGAGGCCAGGCCTTGGATCATGCGCGTACGCAAAGCATCTCCGTTTGGATATTTGCTGCAGTGCAGCCGCCGGCACTTGCATTACATGGTTGGACCGACCCGCCGTGGCCATATGGATCATCAAGTGCACGGAGACACGAATTAATAATGCATGCGTGCGTGCAAGCCCGATCGATCGGTCGATCGGCAAGCAATAATTCTGGTCCGTAGTGCGTGCGCCTTGTTTTTGTTTGTCTCCATGCACGAGTCACGATCGATCAGAAAGCTCATGAAGATGATCGAGGACTAGTTAAGTACCCCCTAAATCAGCCAGACAACGAGACCCACACGGTCCAGTTGATCTTTCAGGGCTCATCACTCACGCAACCGGGCGGCATGATTAACCGATCGATCGAGCTAATATTCGTGCCGGCCGGTTGCGTCGCCAGCGCAGCGATCACCACGCCGGCCTGATCGAGACGGCCACGCTGCTCGGGCAGTTCCGATCGATGGCCAAAACGCCGGCGGCGCACGCGACGTGTCCACAACACATCAATCCCGTCTTAGTAGCTCTGTCACGGTGGCCGAGCTGCCAAAACTCCAAAGGAAGCTCTGTCTTTTGTTTCATTAAATAAACACGAACAAGTTTCGTCATTAAACAAGAACAAGATCGCTGATTAGACCTCCGATCCGACCCCTACACACGCATAACGAATTCCTTTCGCTCGGTGATTGGTTGCCAGGCGTCGATCGCCGCCGACGACAATTGAAGCCGCATGCATGCATGCATGCACCCAGTGACCCAAAGAGTTAAAATAACGGGGAGATTCCATTCCAGGCTCAGGCCAACTTCACCGCGCGACCCAAACGGACGTCCGGTTTGACCGGATTTTGTCCTTTTGGGGCGCCGATGGGTTCGCCCATGTCCGCGTATGTCCGATGGGTCGTGGGTCCGTCCAACGCGCGGCCGCACCCCAAAACCTGTCCGGGGTGGACGTGAATAAAAAAAGTTTAAAAACTAAATGAAATGCCGAAAAAAGTAAATAAACTTAGTTAAAAAAACATAAAACATATATATATGGGTTACAGCCACAAAACGGCACAGTTTGTCAGTCCACTTAACGGCCCAGTTCGTAATTAACATAAAAGAAAAAAGAAAAACGCCTCCCGCGCGCTCCTGCTCCTGCCGCGCCCGTCGATGCCGTGGCCGACGCCGCTCACTGACCGCCAGTGTCATCGTCGTCGCTGACCAGGTCGACGTAGGCCGGCGGCGTCCAGAGATGGGCCGGCGGTGCGTGGTAGACGGGGGCTCGCTGGACGGCGGGAGGTGCCTGCACCACCTCCTCCCGCGGCGACGCCTCCCGCTCCGGTGACCGCGGCGGCGTGGGGCGCCAGTTCACGCCCACGGCGTCGGCCATCTCTTCTGCCGTGCACGACCAGCCCCACCCCTGGCCAACCAGGGCTGGGTAGAACGCGGCCACCTGTGGCTCCTCCACCTCCTCCTCCTCCTTCGCCACCATCTCGAGCTCGGGGATGGCGACCTTGCCGGCGGCAGAGCGGGCCAGCATCTCCTCGAGGCCCTCCCACTGGCGCTCATCGTGCGTGCGCATGGAGTCCTCTATGACGCACGCAACGAGACGGGCCTCCTCCTCCTCCGTCATGTGAGGAGGTGGTGGTGGCGATGGAGATGGCGTCGGCGACGGCGTGGGCGTGACGCCGCACACCCGCCTACGCCCGCGCTCCTGGGGAGCAGGCGCTGCGCGCTCCTGTCGTGGCCGCCGCGTCCCCGTCGAGGTGCCGGCAAAGAATGACGCGTGCCTGGTGCCGTGCTCGTCACGAAACTAGGTGTCCCAGAGCCCGGAGTCGGGGGCGTACTTGGCGTCGTAGAAGAGGTCGTCGGGGAGGAGGCGGCGGCGGCGCTCGATCTCCTCGTCGCGCGCACGGCCGCTCGTTGGGATCGGCGGGATGGGGACCCGGTCGGCGGAGAGATGCCAATTATTGGGGATGGACGTCGCTCCAGGGGAGCGGCGTCCTCGTCTCCCAATAACGGCGGCACACCGACGCGCGGATGTAATGCCGGTCGCGCTCGCCGGTGGACGTGGGCGCGATGGAGAAGGCGGGCGGCGTGAGGGCCCGGCGATGGCGACGCGGGCTCCTCTTTCTTCACCGAGCCGCGGCGGCGCCCCGACGAGGAACCAGCCACGTCGTCGTGCTTGCCTTTGCGGCCGTAGTTCCAGAGGCCCATGGCTGCGGGCGGCCGGCCGGCGAGTTTCTTTTCTAGGGTTTGGGAACAGGCGCTGCCGGGTTTTGAGGAGGCCGCGGGGTGGCGTGGTGCACTGTGGATGACGACCCGTCCACACTTCCCACTTAAAGAAGGACGGCGATCGTTCGACGTGCGGATGACAGGTGGGGCCGTCCGCTCGTGCTCATTGATGTTGGCCGGTGGGAGGTAGGTGGCCGCCTGCCACGCGGCCCCGACGCGGACGAGGCGCGCATCCGTTTGGTGTCCGCCGCGATCTAAACCCGGCGCAAGTTTGCGCTCGAAATGGGTCGGCCCGGACACAAAACGGACAGGATGGGTCCGGGCCGTCGCGCGCTGGGCCGCCTCGTTTGTCCCTTTTGCCCCAAACGGACAGGGCCGGACAGGTTAGGGTCGCGCGGTGAAGTTGGCCTCAGAGTAGCTTGCCCATTTTCTGCCTGACCAACCCGGCCGGGGCAGCCAGCCGTGACCACACCAAAGATCAGTGAATAGCCAGTTGATGCCAAGGAATAATTGTCGCTTGGGTTTGTCACACCGCATTTAGTTCCCAGGTTGCTTCCTTCCGTGACGACCTCCCCTCCTGCCGCAACCCTACACTGCCACTGGACCCTGGCTGCAAGTTGGCCGTGTCGTGTGGTGTGGACATGTGGCAGTGCTACTGCTACTGCTAGCTACTGGCCGCGTTGCTTGCTGAGAGTGGGAGTATAAGCGCGAGGAGTTTGCTCAAGCTAGCTGGGAGAGAAATTAAGGGAAGCAAGCATACTCTAGCAAGAGCTGGTGCCTAGCTAGCTAGTAGAACTTGGGCGTCATGGATCAGCTTGACGAGCAGTCCTTCCTCGACGAGCTTATGTCGCTGCGCCGGGAGGAGGCGCCGGTGCCGGCTCCGGCTCCGTGGCAGGCGTACCCGGCCAGCGGCATGATGACGACGACCGACCTCCTATTCTACGGCGGCGAGGGCGCCGCCGAGGCGAGCAGCGGCATGGACTTGGCCGGGCCCTTTCAGCAGCCCATGGCGCCACCGCCGGCCGCGCCACCGCACCGGCCGCATGAGGAGTTCAACTTCGACTGCCTCAGCGAAGTGTGCAACCCCTACAGGAGCTGCACCGGCGGCGGCGTCCCAGGGCCTGGCGTCGTCCACGCGGCCGGCCAGGCGTATGCCCTCCACGACGCCATGGCGGAGGATCACCCGAGCTGCGGCAACCTGCATCGCGGTGGTGGGTCGTCGTCGTCCCCGGTGCCGTTCGTGTTCGGAGAAGGAGGCGCCGGGGAGACCTCGGAGGAGATGACCAGGGGCGTCTTCTCCGGCGGCAACCCTAGAAGCAAGCTCAACCGCGGCACCACGTCCAAGAACCTCATGGCGGAAAGGCGGCGCCGGAAGCGTCTCAACGACCGCCTCTCCATCTCCGCTCCATCGTGCCCAAGATCAGCAAGGTGTGTCGCAACTCTCGCATTGTCCTGTGACCTAATTAATTAGTAATTAACCTAGATAACTATCGATTTCTTAATTTCTATAGAGTACTATCAGTCATCATCAAGGTGTGTATCGAGTATTAACATCTTTAGATCGCATCAATCGATCAGTCTGCAGATGGATAGGACCTCGATCCTTGAGGACACCTTAGACTACGTGAATGAACTAACCGAGCGGATCAAAACCCTCGAGGAGGAGATCGGCGCCACGCCGGAGGAGCTGAACCTGCTGAACACCACGAAGAATTTCTCCAGCGGTAGCAGCGAGGAGATGCCGATGAGGAATTCCACAAAGGTACACACTTTGCTCAGGCAGCCAGACATCAAATCATCTAGTTCGCGACGATTGCTCCCTAATTTTAGAGTTCTCCTAATTAATTGAGGTGTTCAATTAAAATTTGGTTTATGATTTTGACCGGATCAACAATTTTCCAAGGAGTCCTATCATTAAATTGAAGACTTATATTTCAGATTTGATTCATGATTTTGAGTGGGTCAATGACCTTTTAAATTAATTGGCACCAGCCAGCTTGTAAAACACATCCCATGCACCCTTTCACTACTACTCTCTCTGTCCCATAATATAAGAGTGTCAAAAAACGTCTTACATTATGAAACGGAGGGAGTAAAAAAGAAGCACCAACACATTCAATGTGACACCAATATTACATGCGGCCACCAATGAAATAAATTTCATCATGTAAGTATGAGTTAATTAGCAGATAACACTAATCATAGCGCGAAAAATTGCCAAAAAACACCGCATTAAAAAAACGCTTCATCATCTTCCTCACGTGCCAAACCAATTTTTATCTTAATGAAATCCCAATAGTACAAACAGCGCATCGAAGCGCACCCAACCCTTCAAATCTGAACTGATAGTTATCCATACAGTTCGTCATCGAGAAACAGGGCGATGTCGAAACGAGGATCGACATCTGCTGCGCCACAAGCCCTGGTGTGCTCATCTCGACGGTGAGCGCGCTGGAGGTGCTGGGATTGGAGATTGAGCAGTGCGTTGTCAGCTGTTTCGGTGACTTCGCCATGCAGGCATCCTGCTCACAAGTATGGAATTAATTGTGTTTCTTTTTGTTTGGAGAAGCTAAAATTTTCACTAATTTCTTGGCCGAATCCCGAATGTACATGTTTTCTACACTATTATAATTCAATCTCGATGCATGGTGTGTGTGGTGTATATAGGAGGAAGGGAGGAGCCGAGTGACAAGCACCGACGAGATCAAGCATGCATTGTTCACGAGTGCAGGCTATGGAGGAAGGTGTCTCTAGATCGATGGAGCACGCCAATTCATCAATCATGTAGCAGAACAAGCTGCTTGTAATTTGGTAATTAATCATCCGTGAGATTTGTGTTTGCATATATTTGCTTGATTTGTTTTGAAATATATCTGCATGAATCAAGCATATGTAGTGTTTATGTTAGATTTTTGAATAGTAGTACTATCTAAAGTTCAAATGCTTGTGACAAGATTGTAATAGTTGGGTGTGTGTCCGTGAGTGTAATGCATGTGGAGTGGAGTATTGGGATTTGGCCGACATGAAAAGATACCAGTCTGTTGTTGCATTTGGTTGGGCACTGTTACAGATTTTTGTTTCGTGTGCATGTTTAGCTGTTTTCTGACAACAATTGTTCATCAAGTTTTGTCCTGGGGTATACGAGCATAGTGGTCAAGGATTGGGTACACATATGGGCACATATGCACCAGCCCTGACGAGTACCTCTCATACTATACACACAGTGGTCCGTTGATTCCTTCCATGTTTGGAGAATTGTGTGACCCTGCTGTGTGCATTTTTCACCACTAGTAACATTCTGACTTGTAGATATATTGGGTTGAAATCGTTATTTTATGGTCTTATCCAAAGCGATACAAACTGGAGACAAACATCCACGAGGATGCAAACTCTCGACTGCTATGTCGATGCGATAGACATTGAGGGAAACTGTGATTTGAAAAAATGGATGGGTGAAATTGAATTTCATGTTAAACCAATAACATTTATAGATGCTCCCTAGTTACTTCTTGGTATTGATACTTTCGACTGCAGCTCTGAGTTTATTCTTCAGACCCATAGCACAAATATTTTTAAATGTGGAATCCTATGCATACTTCTGTTATAGTTCATGCATGCATGCTACTCGAGCACCAGTTTTTGCGTGTAATCGCCTAGCACAATTATAATAAACAATAATCTGACTATATTGAGTAAATAAAACATGTATAATAGATAGAAAATGAAGATGTATTGGCATAGAGAATGGTCTGTCGTGCATCCTATTTAGACGTTGATGAAGGAAGTATTAATCCCATCTAGATCCCTCGGTGTGCCCCCCTAGGTATATCACATCTACATTTGCAAATTTGCAAATGATGGCATGCTAATTTTCAAATTAAATACTCAGTAATTGCGGTGACATATCATAATATGCTTGCATTCCATTAAACATAACTTCAGCGGCATAAAGTATAGATGTCACATGTCGTATATCATTAGAACCAAACAGATAATTGAATCCTCGCAAGCGTTGCATTAAGCACCATGTGTACACACACTAACAAGTAAACATTACCTGATGTCTACACACATTTTTTTTCGAAAAGGGGAAAGACACCCGCCTCTGCATCATCATGATGCACACAATAATTTTTGTTAAAAGAAAATAAATAGGTCTGAAACGTACATAGTATCAACTAAAACGACAAAAAGAAACAGAAAACACCACAAAAGGTGGGTACAAACGAAAGAATACATGACTTAACTACATAATCTATTAGTGACATGTCAGCCAAACCGGTTGAATAATACATGTGAAACAATCTTCAGACGGTTGCACCCAAAGGACATGAGCTCGATGCGGTGGATCTGAAGTTAACCTGCAAAAAAGTTAACCTGCAAAAAGTTAATAGAGCGAGACCTGTTAAAAACACAATCATTCCGGCAATTCCAAATTGCCCAAAGTAAGGCACAAACCCCTACACGGCTATGACCCTTAAGTATTTTCTTCATACCAACCAACCAGTTTCCAAACAATTTGGGATACTTGTTGGTGGTGGCAAATTATATGCAACATGAACCGTGCGCCAAATCAAAGCCAACTTGTAAGAACCAACTGACCGCGAGGTCAATACCTGATGATTGTCAACACGTCAAAGAAAACAAGCAGGCTCATATGCAAGACATCAACATACATCTTGCCGCATCTCACTATAGCATAAGTAGTAGGCATTGTGACCAAATAAGTAATAGCATAGCAAGATAATATCAATAAAGAGGGTTGGCACCAATCGCGGCATCAGTTGGAACCGAAATGTTCCTCTCGGAAATTTGTATTACATTGGAATGATAGCATTCTGCCAATCTTTGGATGAACAATGATAAACCTACGGATGCGGTTTTTGATGAACAATGATAAACCTATGAAGGGGTTTGCTATGGAAAATTACGCAATTACATGGAGAGATTAGAGCAAAAATAGGTGTGGGGCCCACTGTGAAATTCATTAGTGGGGAGAGGGGTTTAATAAGTTAAGAATACTACCTCCGTTTCAGTTTACAAGTCCTACGCGTATACCTAGGTTATCAATTTGATCACCTTAATATAAACTATATAACACAAAAATTATATCTTTTGAAAATAGAACATCTAAAGTTTATATTGGTATACTTTTTGTAATATATAACTTGTATTAGGTTAGTCAAATTGACGACCTAGGGGTACGCGCACGCCCTATAAACTGAGAGAGAGGTAGTACCTATTACAGGATTTTTGGTATTTGATTTGTCCCAAAAGTATTTTGGGACTTTAACCTTTTGGGGACACATAGACAGGTCTAATTTCTAAAAGCTGTAATTTTTTGACATCCCTATTATTACGGGATGATTAAAAATGCTCTCAAACAGCATAATTTGTAGGCATATCAGTATATGTAATTTAGCTCAATTGATAGAGAGTGTTTATTAATGCTGCTCATTCTGGTTTAAAATACAAGGCCACTATAAAAAATCACAATTTGCATCTATAGAAGACTACTACTACTACGATGGCTTTGATTTGGCGCCTGATTTTTGAATTTGGGTCAGTCGACCATTTTCAACCATACGATGAAGATCCACCTGCTCCTGGCTTTCTTCTTCCAAGACCGCTACACAGGCTGCCGGTTGAACCGCCTGCAACCACCACCCGCGGCTGTCACCGCTCCGGCGACCGCCTCGCCGCCCCACCCTCCGCTGAAGCGCCCCCCACGATCGACCTTCCACCACCCCTGGACATCCCTCTAGCCCTGTATGAGTCCAATTTTTTCTCTGGCGAAGCCCCACCACCGCTCCAAACCCTAAACCCTAAGACAGATAATGTGATAGCCCTCCGGCGAGCCCCTTCCTTCTCCTTCCTCCCCTCTGGCCTTCCTCCGGCGAATTTCTTCAGGAATCTGAAAATCGACTAACCCATTAGCCAAAGTCAATCAATTGATGGATAGCTAAGGTGGATAAAATTAGGCGAAAAACTATTTATTCAAGTACTTCCCCCGCTACACACCAACACCCACCTTGAAAGCCCCATTCTAAAGTTTGGCACAGGGCCCAAGATATTGCCGGCCCGGCCCTGCGCCCCATCATCCTAAGGGCATCTCCAGCCGCGCCCCCAAGAAGGCCTCCCCAGGCGATTTTTTCGCGCCGGCGCCGAAAAAACGGCCCAGTCGCGCCCCCAGGAGCCCGATTTTCGCCGGCTTGGGCCGAAAACAGCGCCGGCGGACCCATCCCGAACCAGGCGCGCTGGGGGGCGCCCGGGGGCGCCGGGGCGAGCTGTTTTGGCGCGAAAAAGACGCGGGCCAGCCGCGTCAGCGACTCGGCGCCTCGTCTTTCTCCTCATCGGCTCCTCCGCGCTTCGTCAAGCCAAAGATGGAGCCGGGGCTGGCGCCGGTGAAGACGGAGCCAGGGCTGGCGCCGGTGAAGACGGAGCCGGGGGCTGGCGCCGGTGAAGGCGGAGTTCGACGACGACGACATGGCCCTAGAATGGGCGCGCCAGGACTCCATTGCGATGGAGAAGGCGCGCCGGGAGAAGGTGAAGGAGCGCCAGCGCGCCGCCCTGCGCCGCTTCGAGGAGCGCCGACGCGGCCGCGATGAAGACGGGGTCGTCGTCCTATGCGACAGCGACGACGACGACGACGCGCCGTCGCCAGTCCGCCATGGCGACGCCGGGTCCAGCAGGGGCGCCATCATCAAGGAGGAGAAGGCCGCTGCCGACGATGGCGGTGACGACTTCAGCCCCTTTCTTTTTTAGATTAGGTTAATGTAATGAAAATGCGCGAATTTCACCGAAATTTGCCATGTTTAGCCGAAATTTAACTACTTTTTATCATAACTTCGTCGAACGGCCTTTTTTTTTAATACGCGCCTGGGGGCGGCCCTGGGGGCCGACGGCTGGGGACCGACTCGCCCCCGAGACCATTTTTTGTGCCGGCTCACCCCCAGACGGTGCTTTTAGACACCCCCTGGGGGCCAACGGCTGGAGATGCCCTAAGGCCTTGTACAATGGAAGGTGCTTAGGGAAGGTGTTTAAAAAAATAAACCAGGCTTTTCTTAAGCATCAGTGCTTATTTGTACAGGATAGACGCTTAACTAAGCGTCTCTCTTGTAGAAATAGGCACCGGTGCTTCAGAAACAATCTTGTTTATTTTTCTAAGCACCTCTATAAGCACCTCACATTGTACAAGGCCTAAGCGGAAGCGGCGGGACACCGAGCGCCGCTGTTTGGTGGGCAAAACCGCGCGCTACCCATGTACGCACGGCACACGCCGCCGATCCACAACGCTGCGCAGCTGTATTTGGCAACCGTCGGCGGACACGGCGCCGGCGCGCGTAGGCTACGGCCCTGCGCCCTGACATGGTGACACTGACACCTCCAACTTGTCACGTGCTGGAAGCTAGCTTAGCCGCGCCCGTGAGCCGTGAGCACGTAGCGGGGATCCATGCATTCACCAGGCTGCGTCCGGCCGTATGTGTACGAGTAGGAAGCAGGAGCTGCTTGGATCATGCGCGTACGCACAGCATCTTCGTTTGGAGATATCTATGCATGCTGCTCCAGCTAGTACAGCCGGTACGTCCGTGCCATGGCATATGCATCAGTGCAAATTGTGGTGTGCGCGGTACGGATCATCATGTCAGATGGTGGGAGACATGATATGTTGGAAATATGAGCAATTTACCGAATGATTTTATTAACAGAAATATTAGATAAAGCATGACTAGTATAGCAGTGATAAAACAAGT